TTAATGTATCTTTAGGAATACAGTATTTCTATCAGTACAGTAGCAATAAAAGTATAACAAAGTATAATAATAATAATGAAATAATAAAGAAAGAAAATATTATAATGTTAAGTTTTTTTTAAAGACTAATAATAATAATAAAATTCAAAACTATCAACTATCTATTCTTTCTTGCAAGGCTTTGTAAATAAACTGAGAAACCTTTTTGATAATTTCACATTCATCTGCATTGAGCAATCGAATGAATGTATTGTGTGCATCATGTGGTAGAAAATTAAATTCAGACAAGTTTCCATATTTTGGACAAATCATGAGAAAGTGGAATTCATCCTCAATAACATTCATGTTGCACTGTTTGCACATTCTTTCCTTTAGTCGTGTTTTGGGCTTGTGTACCTGCTCTTTTCAATTTCAAGCTTGTGTGTGCTTATTCTCAATTTTAGCAATGTACTTCGTCTGGGATTAAGGTTTTGTAATATGGATCAAACGTGTATTTAAATTTCATGTTTGCAAATGTTCTAAGTTTACTACTATTTTTGAGATTTGTGACTTCCGCTGGTTTACATATTTTTGTTTTATATTTGCTTCAATGTTATTTATAATCTTATGAATGTTTCTTTTTGGAATACTTGTTGTAAAATGTATTAATGATATGTAATAATTATCTTTTAATATTTTAATTAGTGATGATAACCATGTATGTTGCTGTGATTTCCTTTGTGATTTCAGGTTAATTTAATTTATATTAATAGTGGTAATACACCTATTTCGCTCCCACATGCTGCATTGCTTGTATGTCTAAACAAACATTTCTCTCATTTTCCAAAATCCATGATCCCCAGACATCTGCACCATAGAGTAAGATGGGATTAATGTTTGAATGAAATACTTTCAAGAAGAGTGTGATGTCAGTGTTCCCTTCCAATGTTTTATTCAGTATAAACATAGCTTTGCATTCTTCTCTGCTAATGTTTTCTTTGCTTCTACAAACTGTCCAGATGTTGAGATTATTATCCCAAGATAAGTATAACTTGTCACACAGCTAATAATTGTATTTCTGTAATGAAAGTATTCAGATGTTTTTAATGTTTTTTTCCTAAAAAATTTTGTTTTAGAAATAAATATTGTCAGGTTCCATTTGGAACAATACGTCTTCAAAATGTTTATCAAATTTTGCAAACTAGGTGCTGTTTGAGACATAACAACTAAATAATCTGCATATAATACTGATGATTCAGTATGGCTGGATTGAGTTGTTCATTTATGAAGAGATTGAAAAGCGTTGGCTATAATAGCTTTGTATGTGTAAAAAGCCTAAACTATCATGAATATTGAAGAATCTAGAGCAAGTTCGTATCTCCGACGAGTTAGTGTTATCTAGTTGTCGAACTCAATTGAGTAAAGCTTGCATACATGTTGCCACAAAGTGAACCGTGTTGTAACTGTTCATGCTTTGGTTAACATCAAAAGTTTGTTCCCTGTAAGAAGAGTTATTCAGCTGAGTATTGCTGATTACTTACATCTACCACTTGGATGCCTCACACGAATATATTTGTATCGATTGCGTATAACTTGCAAAACAACAATATTAGTCCACGCTGATCCTTGAAGTTTAAGTCTTTAAATGTAAAGAGTTATGAACAATAAATAATTGGACATTTGACAGACAGCGCCATCAACGTTGATATAGCTATTGATCTCGCTTCCTCAATTGGATTGCGAATCAAATGCTTTCTGGTATAATACGTGACTCTCATCAATCTGATTAAAATCCGATGTAGGTATGAGGTTTC